AGTCCTGGATACACACGTATAATTTTGTCTATTTTCTTACCCAGGTAAATCTCACTATAACTCCACAACAGACCCTACTGGAGAAGTCCAGTGGAGGGGACACCGAGACATATTAGACGGTTAATAAACTTTGTCTTTACTGCTACTAGAATCTCAATTGTGAGCTCTTGGAAGTCCCCTGTGATCCTGTTTAATCTTTTGAAGGCCAAGTTGACTTGGATTATTACAAATGAACGCCTGTTAGCAATCCTACTGTAAATGATAAACTGACCCTCTTTGAGAAAACCTGGGGCCCATGGATCATATACCTTACAGATCCCTCATGACTTGGATATTATATTCATACCCTGATCAAGGGGGGGATGCACCTTTCTTTTTATTTTCCTTTCCCTTTTGCTCACCTTCAGTGACTCTCTAAGTTGCTTTAAAACTTTGTTATAATAGCGCCTTCAAGGGTAAAATGGAGAAGACATTTGTTTATTCTTTTTTTATTTTTCTTCTTGTTTAGTCAAGCACTTCAAAGGAATACTCTGGATTATAGGAAATTGAATAGAACCTGAATATTTCATTGTCCTTTTTTTGTCCTTTTGTGCCTCAGTGTATCTGGAGATAGACATGTATTTCTCCCTTGCCAAGTGTTTGTCTGATGGCTTTTGTACATTATTAGAAAAAATATTAAAAATCATTGGAAATGAAATAACATTTGGAACATGCCTTTAGCATTAGAGAGGGAAGCATCTCCCATTTACTAAACATAATTGTTTTTGCAGGTCTAGATTCTCCCATACATAATATAAGAGAATCCAGAGCTTCAATATGGGCCTGAGAGCCTGAAGATTAGCTGTGCCAGGGTTCTGGAAGAGATCAGAACCTTGACAATAACTACTCTCTCGGGTACATAAGAACCAGCCACAACCAGGGAGCTTCCAGAGTTCACCTGTCTGTAACCAGGACAGGGAGGAGCTGCCTCAATGCAGGATCTGTCTACTGGAGATAGAAGAGGAAGCTGAAACCACCAGACTACCCTGTGCCCACTAATTTCACACCGACTGCATTACAAAGCTGATGCAGGAGAGCAGAACCTGTCCATTCTGTTGGGATAGGGTCACTCACTATGTATGGGTAAGTTTCTTAAATCTTTTTTCAATCACTTTTACTATTTCTGAGTAAAAGTGATTGTTTTTTTATATCTTTTTTTTAATCACTTAGAAATAATTTTGGGGGCTCCCCCCCAAAGCACCTTGTCCCCATGTTGATGGGGACAAGGGCCTCTTCCTCACAACCCTGGCTGGTGGTTGTGGGGATCTGCGGGCAGGGGGCTTATCGGAATCTGAAAGCCCCTTTTTATAAGGGGGCCCCCAGATCCTGCCCCCCCCTATGTGAATGAGTATGGTACCCCTACTCATGCACAAAAAACAAAAAGTTGATAGCTGAAACATTAAAGATTGTTTTAACTACTAAAATACTGCATTACTTAATAATATAACTCATGCAGTATTTTAGGAGCTCTGCGGTATCTTACCGCATACTCAGATGTGTTAAGATACCACTTAGCGAATTCTCCCTGTTCGAAGTTCGCAGTCGAACTTTTGTTAGGTTTGAATATTGGACCATGAAACGAACAGGAGGGTGTTCATCCCATTAACTACAGAGCAGCTGCATCCAAGCCTTATATCACCAAGTGCAATGCAAAGCGCCGGATGCAGTGGTGTAAAGTACGCCCCACTGGACTGGTCAGCAGTGGAGACGTGTTCTCTGGAGTGGCAAATCACGCTTCTCTGTCTGGCAATCCTATGGACGTGTCTGGGTTTGGCGGTTGCCAGGAGAACGATACTTGCCTGACTGCATTGTGCCAAGTGTAAAGGTTGGTGGAGGGGTGATTATGGTGTGGGGTTGTTTTTTAGGGGTTGTTATTGGCCCCTCAGTGAAGGGAACTCTTAAGGTGTCAGCATACCAAGACATTTTGGACAATTTCATGCTCCCAAATTTGTGAGAACAGTTTGGGGATGGCCCCTTCCTGTTCCAAAATGACTGCTCACTAGTGCACAAAGCAAGGTCCATAAAGACATGGATGAGTGAGTTTGGGGTGGAGGAACTTGACTGGCCTGCACAGAGTCCTGACCTCAACCCAATAGAACACCTTTGGGATGAATTAGAGCAGAGACTGCGAGCCAGGCTCTCTCATCTGACATCAGTTCCTGACCTCACAAATGCACTTCTGGAAGAATGATCAAACATCCCCATAGACTCACTCCTAAACCTTGTGGACAGCCTTCCCAGAAGAGTTGAAGCTGTTATAGCTGCAAAGGGTGGGCCAACTAAATATTGAACCCTACGGACTAAAACTGGGATGTCATTAAAGTTCATGTGCATGTAAAGGCAGGTGCCCCAATACTTTTGGCAATATAATGTATAATTACCTGCTTCTAAAATGAATGTTATTAACGCCCCAAGAAGTAAATTCACATCAATAACGGCATCCATTGATAAAATGCCTGCAATAACACCCCATAGTAATATAACAAGACTGGAAGAGAGAGCTAATCACCATCATTCTCTCCCATCCTTTAGTAACATATATTTAGTACATATGTAAGCCAGGGCCCTAGCTTATTTCCACATGGCCGACATGTGCAGCTGGGTTCCATGTATATAGACAGGATCTCAGAGTCTCAGGGCATTACACCTGTGTTCAGCCCAAAAGCCACATACTGTTTACTTGCACAGATTATGGTCCTAGACATCTGCTCCTCATCCTCCTAGTCACTCATAGTTCTTAGGCCAATGCTTTACTCCTAGTCCAGATTAAAACTCCAGAAACCCAACCGGCCACCCAGGGCCCATGAGATACAAGGGCCCGGGCCCCTTGATGCATGGTACTTGAGGGGTTTCTCTCTTAATGTCAGGTGGAGGAATCTTTTTCCTCCATCGCCACCCACTCCAGAATTGACCAGGATTGCACCAGTAAAATCACATCTTCATCTTGCCAGGTTTTGGCTGTATGCTCTGTTCCTCTGTTCAAGCTTTCATTAATCTAACTGAAGATTAGGCAGAGTTGCAAGAAAACATCTTTACTTATTTTAAAATGTGTAAAACAATCCCAAGTCATGGCAATGTCTTTTCCAAATGATGGCAAATACAATTTCAGCTCAAACGATCATGAGTCAGATCAACATTGGACAGGAGGAAGGGTTGGAATACTCACGCAGTCCATAGCTGGTTCCGGCTTTCAGTGTTAACTTCAAATGCCACTCATGTGAGTCATAGTTAGAGTTCTTCCTCAGCCCTCCCATAAAGGGGAGAGCACGCAACCCTATAGCTCCATCTTGCAGGAAGGAGTAATTATTAAAGTGTTAATAAACCCTGGACCCTGCATTCACTATATCTCCCACAATACACAGAACATCGAATTTGCAATCATTTTCGTAAATATACACTGCTAAATAGCTTTTCTCATCAGCAGTTAGAGCAGCCTTGTGACTTGTGTCCAGCTGAGCACTAGTTAAAGCTTGTAGGAGGATGCAGGACCCCTGATCTCTGTCTGAACAGTGCTGATTGGCCCTGTGCTGATCATATGCACTCTTCCAAGAAAAAAAAAGAAAAAAAAAAAAAACCTCTCTAGCAATACACACCAAACTGAACATGTACAGAGTCTTATCAGGATATAAGAGGGTGACACTGGAAGAAGGGGAGGATCAGATGTCAGGATCAAACATCATTTTTACACATTGCAGAGAATTAACCCCTTAGGTTCCACAGTGAGTATACCAAGCATGGTATATGCTGCATATACAGATTGATTTCAATGTTGAGGGTTTAGTAGCACTTTAAAGGGAAGTTACACCTGTCTACACATACAAGCACTTAACTAGAGAATAGTGATACCTATAGAAAATAGTCTCTAAGTCACTGTGGAACTAAAGCTGCTTTGGATGTGGTTCCCAATTCATTTGAGCAAACCTACTTAATACAACTGTGTTAGCACTTATTTTATATTTACTATGTCTTGCTGTCACTTCCTATATTTGAATGTCTCACAAGCTGAAAAAGCATGAGAACTTCAACTATAAAGCCTTTTTACTTTAACTATATAAAGTTTTAGAAATGTATGGGGTCAGAGTCATGAATATGAACTGCATACAGAAACTAGGGCAACCAGAATATCTCTATGTGCTGGAGGGAAGGAATTATCATAAATATATTTGATGATATTTTGGTCTTGGCAACGGTTGAGAATAGGTGGAAAATAATTGAAAAAATACAACCCAGAGGCATTGAGGACTGCTGGATTATTCAATCACATACTTGGCCTTTGCCCGGTTACAAGAAATCTATTATACATTTCTTCTACACTCGTTTGAAGAAACAGATAAATATAGATATGCAGTAACGTAGAATCCCTAAGCATTAGTTAATATTTAAACTTTTTTTTATGTGTACAAGTTTAGCACCTAAAGTATATACTGCACTTTTTAAACACATTAGCCCTTTTATTATATCCAATGACACCAAGCAACTTTGCAAATATTGGTTACCTTTACTTTTCCTATTGCTTTACAAGCTGTCATCACAGCATTACTTGGCTTACTTTCAGCTTGTCTGTGTCTACTTTGTAGGAAAGGACTGAGAACAATTACTAGAGGTAACAAATTGCTGAAACAGGTCAGCCCCTGTATACATTTAACAGCTTCCATGCCGCCCTGTAGCAGAAATGCTGCTACAGGGCGGCACGGGTGCGCAAACTCACGTATACATACGTGATTTTGCATTTCCGGGCAGTACCCACAAGTGCAATTTGCGGCCTCAGCTGTCAATCACTGGGTCCTGGACAGTGATTACTTGCCAAGTATCGCCGACGGGGGAGAGACCTGTGTATAAACAACACAGATCTCTCCCTTGTCAGCTCCTGCACACTACTTTGTATGGCTCTGCATAGCAGAGCCATACAAAGCAGTGTGCTAACAGTGAAACACACACAGCACATAATGTGAAAAACACACAGCACACAGTTATCCCTTTGATCGCCCCACATGTTAACCCCTTCCTCCCCAGTGCCATTAGTGTAGTGTCAGTGCTTTTTATTAACACTGATCACTGTATTGGTGTCATTGGGGATGTCAGTGACACCAAGTCAGTTCCTTCCAGTGTCAGAATGCCCACCACAGTCCAGCAGTCCCGCAATAAGTTGCTCATCGCCACTATTACTAGTAAAAAAAAAAATTCCAGTATATATATCATCATTTGTAAATGCTATAACTTTCAACGTAATCCAATTAATTTACACGTATTGGGATTTGTTTTAGCAAAGACATGTAGCAAAAACATTTGACCTAAAGTTATAATGAAATTTGATTTTAAATTTTTTTTACTGGGCATGTTTAATAGCAAAAAGTCAAAAATATTGTTATTTTCTCAAAATTGTCGGGATTTTTTGTTTATAGTGCAAAAAAATAAAAAACGCACAGGTGATCAAATAGCACCGAAAGAAAGCTCTATCCGTGTGAAAAAAGGACATACATTTAATTGGGTGCAGCAATGCATGACTGCACAATTGTCAGTTAAAGTAATACAGCGCAGTAACACAAGAAATGGCCTGGTCAGGAAGGGGGGTAAATCCTCAGGAGGGAAAGTTGCTAACTAAGTCCTTCCCATTCTTGCATCATATGTGATCCTAGATGAGCAATTGTGAAAATCACTTTATGGGGCCTAGAGTGGCACTTGCTCGATACTGAGGCCAGAAACTATCCTGAGTGTTGCTTCACCTTTGGCAGTCCCTGCTCCATAAAAATGTTAGCTCACTTTCACAGAAAAAAATGTAAAGGTGAACTAACACCAGACAACAACCCCCCCCCCCTCTCTGCAGTACTTACCTCTGGGGTTCCTGAGATGTCAGCACACCCACAGCTGTTCCAGTGGTCTGGGGATTTGAAATCCCCATTTCTACCCTGGGGTGAGTTCTGTCCTTATCTTCTGTATGCAAGAACATCTGGGTGTTGTAGTTTTTAACTGTATTCCCTGTGACCAGTCTCTGCACTCTCTGGACTACATGTTCCATGATCCTCCCCTCTTGGCTGATTGGTTTCACCACCATTGCTACCAGGAGGGAGGGGAGAAAAAAACAGCAATACAAGAAGGAGGATGACATACAGCCCACAGCACAGCTGCCCTGTGCACAATGCAAGAAAGAGTGGAGCGGGTGCAAAAGCGCTCAGCTCAATCCTGGGGGGGGGGGGGGGGGACATGGACACATAGGGCATAGGCACTTAAGTGTTTGTATGGGTGTTTTTCATGAATTTTCTCACATTTCAGCCTTGAGTGTTTCTGTTATAGCAGTGAAAAACTAGGTAGTAGGAGAAAAAGACAATTGTTAGAAGCAAAATTGCATGAAAAAGCACCTTTTCAGTCACAGCCATTGAAGTCCACTGAAGCAGAAAATGTATAGTTATACTCCAAAGAAGCTCCTGTACTTTTTTTCTGACTGTGGAATGATAGCACATTGCTTAGAATGGGCATGATCAAATAACACAGAAATCTGAGTATTGAGCATTGAAGTGCTTCTGGAAACATGCTTAAAATGCTCAGATGTGATTGGAGGCTTACTGATTATTGTTATGCATTACATTAATGATTATACCAACCTATAACTGATATTGTCTAAGATGAACACTGAAACACACAGAAAAGATCTGCATTGCTTGAACAAATTGAAGAAATAAATCATTGTGTGCAATGTCTGCAGGTGATCAGCCCCAGTATGAGTGTCTCCTCCTCCTTCTCTACCCCCACTTGCTCAGATTACGCTGGTGGGACACCCATACCATAGGGAACTGCCTCCTCATGATGTCACCCAGCAAACAAAGTCTCAATGGAGACTACCATCGCGTCTCAATGCACTGTTCACATTACAGAACACGGAGTCAAATGGCAAAGAGTGGAACATACAGCTGCAAATGGTAGTCTAAGCCTGGAGAGGAGACTAGTGCTGGGAGAACACAGGCATAGAAAAGGCCTGTCTACTTACAGTATATTGTCAAAAGTATTGGGACACCTGCCTTTACACGCACATGAACTTTATTGGCATCCCAGTTTTAGTCCGTAGGGTTCAATATTGAGTTGGCCCCCATCCTTTGCAACTATAACAGCTTCAGCTCTTCTGGGAAGGCTGTCCACATGATTTTGGAGTGAGTCTATGGGGATGTTTGTTCCAGAAGCACATTTGTGCAGTCAGGCACTGATGTTGGACAGGAAGGCCTGGCTCGCAGTCTCTGCTCTAATTCATCCCAAAGGTGTTCTATGGGTAGGGGTCAGTTGCAGATCAGTCAAGTTCCTCCACCCCAAACTCACTCATCCATGTCTTTATGGACCTCCTTTGTGCACTGGTATGTAGTCATGTTTGAACAGGAAGGGGACATCCCCAAACTGTTCCCACAAAGTTGGGATCATAAAATTGTCCAAAATGTCTTGGTATGCTGACACATAATGAGTCCCCTTCACTGGAACTAAGGTCCAAGCCCAACCTCTGAAAAACAACACTACACTAAAATCCCCCCTCCAAAAAACTGTATACTTGGCACAATGCAGTCAGGCAAGTATCGTTCTTCTTGCAACCACCAAACCCAGAAACATCCATCAGATTGCCAGACATAGAAGCGTGATTTGTCACTCCAGAAAAACACATCTCCACTGCTCTAGAGTCTAGTGGTGGCTTGATTTACACCACTGCATCCCACACTTTGCATTGTGCTTGGTGACATAAGGCTTGGATGCAGCTGCTGGGCCATGGAAACCAGTGCTCTACACACTGTTGTTGTGCTAGGCCACATGAAGTTTTGAGGTCTTTAGCTATGGACTCTGCAGACAGTTGGCGACCTCTGCGCACTGTGTGCTTCAGCATATGCTGACTCCGCTCTGTCATTTCACATGACTTACCACTTCGTAGCCAAGTTGCTGTTTTTCCCAGTTGCTTCCACTTTGTTATAATACCACTAACAGTTGAGCGTGGAATATTTAGTAGCAAGGAAATTTCACGGATGGACTTATTACACAGGTGGCCACCTATCGCGGCACCACACTTGAATTCAATGAGCTCCTGAGAGCGGCCCAGTCTTTCACAAATGTTTGTAAAAGCAGTCTGCATGCCTAGGTGCATTATTTTCTACAACTGTGACCATGAAGGTGATTGGAACATCTGAATCCAATGATTTGGAGGGGTGTACCAATACGTTTGGCAATATAGTATACTGTGTGTATATATATATATATATATATATATATATACACACACACACTCTGCTTTTCAAATAGACATTCAGTACATGACAAAGGATTCTCAAAGCTGTATGAGTTATCTGGCAGGACAGCAGCACAGCAACCTGCTTGAATTATTGAGCTCTGCAAATGACTAGCTTTTTTCAATGAAGATGCAAAGGAGACAGAGGAATATATTCTAAAAGAATGCCACCTGCTGGCTGGATAGAGGACTAATATTACATAATCATAAAATAAAGAATTTTGTATTAACCTGATCTTTTTTTTTTTAATCCTCATCTTAATGAATATGTTCAAAACCACTCATTATACATTGCCTTTACAAGACAATTTGATACAAACATCAACATAATTTTATTTATGACATTTTTCAGTAATACAAAAAAAAATTGTATGAAAAACAGAGAATTATTTTACTGTTCAAATATTTTTCAGCATAGAAACACAAGCAATAGTGTTGATAGAATATACATTCCAATCGAGTCACACCATATGTCAGAGACCATTATAGCAATGAAGAATGAAGGCTGTATTGAGAAAGAAAAAAAACACATCATCAACTTTCACAAATAATGAATATACACTATACAAACTAATATTTCCCACTTTGTGAGAAAACAACATCAGAAACAGAAATGTTTAGCATGTGTCGGACAGAGTCTTTCAAGGCTGAAGATTTCTTGGAGTAAAAAGAAAAAATGTTTTAGAGTAGCAAACCCTAACTTAATTTGAAGCAAACTTTATGTCCCACCAAGTCAATTAATCATATAGAATAACTGGTAAAGTGCAATGATATGGTAATATTTACAATGTAATTCCTGTGTGAGAACTGCTCTGACCCAGGATACCATCCAGAGAGATAGTTTTGGTCAGATGGCTGGTGATATATATATACCTTAACATAAAGCAGGCCTAGTTTTTGCTTCTGCCTCCTGCTATGGTTCATTAATACAGATGTCAGCAAAATACACACAGACCATATTTGTGTGCTCAGCAGATAATTTAGCTGTACCAGGCAGGGATGGCTTCTATATGAACTAGACAAATCGTTTTTTCCATGGAAATGTATAGGCAAAACACTATCACCTTCATGCTTCAGTAGTGTTCATAGTGGCCTACAATTTACAGAGGAAGTCAGTTGTCATCAAAAAGAACTGACGGTGAGGTGAGCTTCAAAGGTTTGCAACAAAAAAAAAAAAAAAAACATCTGCAATGTCCGTAACAATGTTTTTTACCTATTTTTTTGTGGTAAAGGTTCCCATATGAAATAGAAAAAGAATCAAGTGGGTTTCTGTGTAAATATTGTAATGCTCATGTACTCACAATGCTCAAATGCAGGCACGGACCCCTTTTAGGCCTTTTACTGACTAACTAACTTGTTTCCTGGAAACACCCAGGGAAGATAAGAGAGGTGAGAGGCCGTCCACTGTCAGAACCAAATGTGCAGGCAACTGACAGGAGCCTAATAGCATACAGCTCCTCTGAAAGATCAAGCTATTGTGGGGAGACTATGCCCTGATTGCTACCAGTGTACTTCATTTCCAGTAGGGTGACTCCTTCCAGGACTTGGGATACCCTAATACCTCCAACTTTTCACCTGTGTAACCATTGCTACCCTGGACTTTACTGAGAGGGACAATGCCTGCAAGGATACTTGAAAGTTGCTGTGTTCTGAGAGCCTTTTAGTGACTATGTTGTGTATCCACATAGATTGAGTCATAGAAATGCTGTAGAGCGAAGTGTCCATGTTTGTGCAGCTTTCATAATCTGTGTTTGCATTATTCTGCAGTGTATACATGCTATTTGCCATTTTGAGCCTGTTTTGCATTGTTAATTGTATCTTGCTCCTGTTTATTAAACTGCAAGTTACAGTTACTCTTTGTCTGATCATTTGGCTGATTACCCATCCTGTTACAGACTGGTCAATAAAGCTACCACAGAATGTTCAGTAGGTCTCAGTGTTAGATCGGAAAAGCCATTACACTAAACCTGATGTTATATTAAAAGCACTTC